CAATGCCTATTTGTGGTAAGTGATTAATTTGCATAGTCTGTTAAAAAAAAGCCTCTTGTGATCAAAGGTTAATTTGAATCTTTTGCAACTCAAGTGATTTATTTTGGCTTTTCTACATGGACAAAGGGCTGTTTAAAATGTTTCTGCAAAGTAGCTAAATCGTTTTTTGTTAAGCACAATTGAGAAAGTACACGTACTGTAAGTCAATATAGTTTAGGCCAAGAAGATATATGGATTAGATTTTATTCTGTTCATTAGCTTATAGAGACTGAGTAAGAAGCAAGACCTCATGGCTTCTCAATAGCTATGTTTTCAGGTGGAGAGAGAGTTACCATATAATCCAGATAAAGTAGCGCAGAGATCTTGCTTTTAAGGCAGCCGGAGGAGCATGATCTCTGATATTCTTCATAATATTCTGCTTGCAAATCTTATTTGCTGCTCGGCCATTTGTGCCGATTCTCCACACTAATCTAGCAGCTCTGCGGGGGAGAGGGCAGAGGGGGTGCATGTGTCACTTGGATACTGGCTCCAGCGTCAGCCAGGCCTGGCGATCTCAGCAAGGGCCAGCTGGCTTACTCTCTCCAGCAGTCAGCGCAGTGGTGATCTGTCCGCAGAGGTCATGCAAGACCACAGCGACAAGCCTTTTGATTTTGCATTTTCCTATCTAATCAGGACTATAATCAGGACTGCAGAAAGAAATAGATCTAATTCTAGAAATGAAAATTAAAAGACAATTACTCATGGTATGTCAATACTGCTCTGGGGGGGGGGGGGGGGGGCTATTGATGCTCACTGTTACAAAGCAGGACTTAATCGGCTAATGGTAAAGAGAGAATCACTTAAAGAGCAATAAGTTTTATATTATTTCATCCTATTTTATTTGCAGGGTAGATTGAGTAGCATAAAAGCAGTCGTGTGGCATTCTGAAGCAGTGTTAGAAGTGTGGTTAATAGAAAAGGTAATATTTAAATATAATTAGAATTAAAATTGTAATTAGGGTGGCATGTGGTGGAACAGATTGTGGGTTCCAGCACAACAGTCGCCTCAGAATAACATGTGGCTTAAACAGGTCTCCTAGAAATAGGCAAACAGGAAGCTGGGTACCTGCACTGCTCAAAGCTGGGAGCATTTCTTAGGTAAATCGCGCATCAGCTGATAAGGAGAGTGTGTAACACTACAATGCACCTGCATGTTATACCGAGGGGAAAAGCCTGGAATAAAAGCAGCACTCGTTAGCATATTGCACCATTTTCCTTCAGCATTACAAGAGATTTTAGCAACACAAAATCACAGAGGGAGGTAGACCGTGTAGCTGAACTGACATAGCAAACTCATATATTTCAATTTCATCCATTTTAACAAGCCCCATTAAAAGCAATTAAGACTTAAAGCCCTGGGTGAGAACACATTACTTACAGTATAGACTATCATATATAAATGTAAAGTAATTTACAAATCTTTTAGTACTCGGCTAGTTGTAAGAAGATTTCTATTTCGCTAGATTTCTATTTTACAAAATTTTCTGCAAATAGAGTCAAAGGATGAAAGGATGAATAATATGCTGGTAGCATAAGTACTGGTACCTCACGTTCGTCAGAGGTTGGGTTAGGGTTAGGGTTACAGTGGCAGCTCTGAGTCTGAGGCTGCCTGTCGCACGGCTCCTGACCAGTACCCTGATTCAGAGTGATGTTTCCCCAGTCACCTTTCCAGATTTGCTTCTGCTCATGCCGATTCCTTAGTTGACTGCAATTTTCCCAGCATGCCGCAGATTCTCCAGGGGGTTTTTGGACAGTGCTTTGGGCCCTCCGGGACATCATCTCGATTTTCCTGGTAAACCCACATGTTGCCTGGGCTCTGAGCTTTGGAACATTTTCTTGCTGAAAGACTAAACGTCCTGACAGGCTCCAGTGTCTTGGCAGACTGAATCAATAGCTCTTGCAGTCTATCCCTCTCCTTTGCATCATCCATTGCTCTTTCGCTTTTAACAGCGCTGAGCAGCATCCCCACTGCATGATGCTGCCGCACTGTGCTCCACTGGAAGCATGCATGAATACTACACATTGTTCCTGGACTCAGACTGTAACACCTTGGCCAGCTGTGGACAACACTCCCAATGTACTTTCAGGTGGCTCTTTTAGAGTAAGGCTTTCTATCGAGCCAGACCCCATACAGACTCGAGTCATGCAGAGCTCTGGTAGTGATGGACAAAATGACACTTTGTGAACCATTTGCTATATTTTTTGACGCCACATGATGGTGCTCTTGGCTTGCTTTGGGGCATGCTTTGTGCCCTTTATTGTACAAAGAGCTCCATATAGTGGGGTCAAAAAACACAGTAATTGGTTCATGACGGGTCATATTGTCCATCACTACTGGATGGCATCTTCACACCACATTCCACCTCTGTGGCTCCCTCAGAGAGGCTGCTGGCAGCTCAGATGCTTCTCATATGTTTTTCTGGTCCACACGGTGAGATCCAAGGGAAGCCCTTCCTAGACACTCTTTGGCTGTATTGATGAATGAGGTCATTGAGATCAGGGCCATGCCGGGACTTTTTAAGGGGCAGTTGCCCTATGATGAAAGTTATTGGCTCAGTGGTGCTCAAAAGTAAGAAGCACAAATGGGCACTTAAAGGGACATGCTTTTAACACTTTGGACAATAGGGGCTGGTGCTCAGGCGCCCCCAGCACCCCCTGTGCACGTGCGTGATTGAGATTGAGGTTTCCCTTGAATATTTTAAGATTTTGATATCATTTTACAGTTTTTCTATTCAGTTGTATGACTTTATTTCCAAATTTGTTAGCACATTTTATTAGCTATGATCCGAAATGAGAAAAAAAATCCCTAAACGAATATAAGTGCTTATGCTGTCTGGCAAATTTAACTAAACACTGGTCACACTACTTAAGGGGACACAATATAGCAGTTCATGCTTACTTAATGCATTGTTTAACCATTAACTAAGTGTTAATGATACTTATTCATCATTAATCAGTCATGACAGTTCATATATTCCATTCAGGAACTATATTAGTTGACAATTAACTCATTACTTAATAATTAACTAATAGCTCCTGCATGGAATACATGAATTGTGAAACCTTATTAATGATGAACTAACACTTAGTTACTAGTTAATTAATGCATTAAGTAAGCATATATTACTACACCCAAGTGTTTCCCTAATACCAAACATGACTATGAGCCAGGCCGTCTTGTCCAACATCAGTGCCTGACCTCACAAATGCTCTCCTGGAAGAATGGTCAAAATTCCCATAAACACACTCCTAAACCTTGTGGACAGCGTTGAAGCTGAAGTTGAAGCTGTTATAGCTCGGTGGGCCATCTCCATATTAAAGCCTATGTATTAAGAATGGGATGTCATTAACGTTCATGTGTGTGTAAAGGTAGGTGTTCCAATACGTTTGGCAATATAGTGTAGGTTTCCTCACAAAATACATGAACTGTTATGATTGATGACAGTTAGCATTCATAGCATGCCTAGTAGCTTGATTTTATATACCTGTGGCTATGGAAGTTATTGGAACACCTGAATTCAATGATTTGGAGGGGTGTCCCGATATAGTAGGCAATATGTGTATATTAGTTCATTATTTGTTCTTAAGTATAGAATGAGTCAAGTAATTTTTGCCCCCTCAAGTGAAAATTACCATTATTAACTAATTAGTTAACTGTTAACTAATATAGTTCCTGAATTAATGAAACAAGCATGGAATCAGTACATAACTTACATTTAGTTACTGGTAAATTAATGCATTAAATAAGCATGTACTACTACATTCTTTGTGTCCCCTCAAGTAAAGTGTGACTGAATGTTTTTGCATTTTCTTTTAAATCTTACTTTTGTAGCAGAAGAAATATGTTTGGATGCTTTCACACAGTTCAAAATGAAATAATTCTTAATTTTCCCCATATTTACTGGGATTTTATTGACTACATATCTAATGCAAAAGCACAAAATCTTAATGTACAAATGTTTTATACTGATTGCTGCAATTCAACAAACCAAACAATAAATTCACCACATATCAAATGATATATTAAAAAGATTTTTATTACTTCTGTGCTTACAGTAAGTACAATTTTCAATGCAAGAAATACTACAGCACATGCATAAATCATGTACTGTTGTGAATATACATGGATACATGACAATTTTCAAATATATTTATTGTTATCTTTTAATAATTGCTCTTCAAAATGTACATATTTGGTAAGGAAAAGGCAAGAAAAATATTTGGTGATACAAGAAGGAGAAGGTTAGATTAGCAGACGAACATCTTTGCACAGTAGCAATGGATGGGTTTTTGGGGCCAAAAGCCAAAGTTAGTGCTTCATTAACTATATTGCTTGCTACGTGATACTACAGAAACATACAAAGTTCAGTTAAACAGTACAGGCTTGCTGGTCCCCTTCCTCAATTTATGGTTTACATTGTTATAGTACAGTACATTCATGAAATAAATACAGGCACATAGAATGTCTCAAATGCCTTAGAATGCATCAACAGTGATGTTAAAAATGAGTAGTGTAATTGTCTATGCAGTTTTTCTAATTTGGCAAATTGTGAAAGTCCTTCTGACATGACAGTTTAGTGCAGGGTTCCTGTTTTCCAGTCCTGGAGGGCCAGTCTGTGACACAGCTTGCGGATTTTCCCGCTCACCTTATTCAGCTCACCAGCCAATTGCCAGGTTTAGTAGCTGAGCAGGGAAATCTGCAAACTGTGTCACAGACTGGCCCTCCAGGACTGGAATTGGGGAACCTTGCTTTAGTGCATAGCAGAAGTCTCTCAGTTTTAGTGGTAAACTTTATATTGGCCCTTTTTTTTAAGTGGTTTGTAAAAACACCATTTTTACAAATTTTATTACTGTACTCATGCCCTTTGATATTCATTTGCTTGAAAATCTGTGTACTGGACAATCCACATGTCTCCAGATATGACAATAAATACATAACAAAAGAGCAGGCAGGCAGATATGTTGGTGTTATTGGTGTTTATTGCGTCCTGCTGCACATGAGGCTGTATTGTTGATGTTCCCCATTACTTTGAGTTTCATTTCATGATAGGTCACATGGTCATCATTTCTTAGATATTTTTTTCCATGTAGTAATTTATTTTTCATAAATAGCCGTTGAATACCAACTAAAAATCCACTGAATAGATGTGTAAATCTTACATGCTGAATTGACTCATTTCATGAATTTTCCAAAACTTTGTTACATCATGGACAATTGCACTGTCATGTGACTTAGCTGGCAGCCACAAGTATTCAGCGTTGCAGTAAAAGAACAACACGTGACTGAGGTGCAAATAGCCACAAGGAAAAGGTAAGCCAAACCCTCATGCTCCAATTTTGAGGTTTATTTTATGTCTTGTTTTTTATATACTGTAAAAGTGCTCTGAAATGTTATCTACAAATGGATTTCCTGAGCAAATAAATCATTTCAACAATACACAGTTCTGGCTGATTTTGACATAAAGCAGTCATTTAATTTATTATTATTTTCATTCCTTTTTCAGACATGCAAGAAAAAGAAAAGTCCCCGCAATACAAGCACTCCCTCAGAATCAATGCTGTCTCTCCAAACTGTAAAACAGTACTTCCCATCAACAAATACTGACTCTATGGCTGCATGTTGTTATGTGTGGAACTTCAGACCATTAATATCAATCAGTTTGATATAAAGCCTCACGCATTGTAAGGGGGGTGTTCCTTAACCCCACACAACCATACACCACAATCACACTCTTCACTTTCATAATATAACTCTTGCTATTCATTTTTCAGTGCTAGAAGACCATGCTATACTTTCATTTCAGTGTTACCATTGTTATAATACATTTTATACAGCTTTACTAAAGCGTTTCTGCTCAGGTAGGTGAGGTACAAACAGCAGTGCTCCCCAGGAACTGCCACCTGCAGGCCTTTCTCTAACCACTACGCCCCCTGCTGGCCACCAACACAGTATACATTTTACCGGATTTGTTTGATACTATGATATATAAAAAATATAAAAGAGCTTGTGAATGTTTCCCCAGATATAAAACTAAAATTATTTTAAGGCCAATAAAACAGAAATAAAGCGAGCATGATGATGATTAAAGCACATTCTGAGAGTAAAGTGGACCTTCTTGGTACACTACTTAGCTGCCAAATTGATTCATTTTGGACACTGAAAGTCAAATTGAGTGTTAGGCCCTGAATGTATTTCAAACTACTTGACAGAGCATTCTAACATGCGAAATCTCAAATTCTGATAGAAATACAAGAGGTGATAGCTGTCACATGTATGAAATAGATTGCAGTTGTTCAATATCTGTCTAATACTCAGTGATTTACATTGTCTAACTCATCATAAATATATAAAATATATAATAATATATCATCCAATCATCAAATATTAGGCATCAGACATTTATACATTTTTATGAAAAAAAAATGTATGGTCATTCTGATCTGAGAAAAAAGAAATGTAAACAATGTATCGATCTTTTGGCCTATGGACTATGTGAAAGGTCAGCTTTAAAATGGATTAAAAGAAGTAAAGGATGTCAGTGAAAAAGAAGAAGAATCAGTACTCATTATCAGGAAAGGCAAGACTATAAGGACTATAAGACATTTTCACACTCCATCCATCCATCCATCCATCCATCATTTATCCACACACAGGGAAACCAATTCAACATTTTCAAATTTTTTGGTGAATTTTTTGGAAGACATTAAAAACAGCAGTGTAGTAAACCAGTGGATCAACACAAATGGTCTTTATAATTTCAGGACATTTCAGACACATCAGTAATACTTTCAGGTTGGGGGAAAGGTGCTGGAAAATACTGGCAACCCTTTAGTTGCTTACTTAAATACTGAATTGATATGATCATTTTTGTACAGAAAAACATATCAACATTAATTTAATTATTTCCATTGAAAAGGTGACAGATATTTATTATCAGGCTTTCAGTCAGAGAACAGCAAAAGTATGGCTCTTCCATACGTGTCAAAAATTATCCTGAGTGTTTGCTATTTAAATATCATTTCTGACTGAAAAATCAAATTACTCCTCACATCATCAATTAATTTTATGGCAAAACTGAAAAAAACTAATTTCGAAATTTGGCCACTCAGTTCATTCATGTGAATGTCGAATTGCCGCTTTGCACAAGCTCTATTGCTCATGTGAAGGTGGGAATGGACGTGTGATCCAGTGTTTTCCCAGAATACAATAGGTGCATGCTACCCTGTCAGAGAGACAGGATCCAGGAACCGCTCCTGTATACTCAGTCGCTGGAAAGCGGGAATGGACATGTGATCCAGTGTTTTCCCAGAATGCAGCGGGTGCACGCTACCCTGTTAGAGAGCCAAGACTCAGGGCCAGCTCCTGTATACTCAGTTGCTGGGAAGTTCAACCCACAGACATTAGGAGAAAGTGTCGTCTTTGTCTGATTCGGGCGACTCCGGCTGTGATACTTCAAAGATGTGCTCGGGGGAAGCCGCGCCTTTCCTCGATCTGAGTATCCGGAGCATTTCCGCCAGCTGGCTCTCGAGGGCGGCCATCCGATTACTGAGGGCGCTGATGTCTTCTTTGAGTTCGCGCTTGAGCTCCAGGAAAGAAGCCTGGATGGTGTGTTCGGGGATGGGGTAGAAGGCGTGCTTCAGCCCAGGCTGGACAGGGCTACGGTCCTGAGGGCTCCGGACCTCCCCCACGTTGTCTAACCGCAGGTCACTTTTGGTGATCCCACTGTCGCACGAGTCCGTCTTCTTCAGGGAGGCCTCTTCTTGTGACTTAGTTCTATCCGGAAGAGTTTCCAGAGACTCAGCTTTGGATACCTTGCCCCAGTTCTCCCCGCTCACCATTGCCTCCTTGAACCGGCCCCAACCTTTCCCCTTCGCAGGCTCCGTGGACTTCCTGCCACCGGAGATGACGGAGGAGTTTAGTGCCGGGGTCTGCGGCTTCACGCGGTCAGTGGGCTCGGAGGCGGGGGCGGAGGAGGAGATGGAGGATACGGAGGTGACGGGGCTCTCCGTCACAGTGACGAGGCTGGTGGTGGCGACGACGCCATGATCATCGTCCTTGAGGACTTGGAGTGTGCCGCTCTCCAGGTCGAGCTCCTCTTTGGCCGCCTGCTCCGCTGCAAGCCGCGCCTCCTTCTGCTGCCGGAATCGCTGGAACAGCCTCCGTACAGGATGGTCAGGGGGCAGGTTCAGGGGGGCCTCGTTCTTCCTCCGCAGCCGCTCTTCCTCCTCACGCTTAACGTCGCTGATCTTGCGGAAGATCATCTACAATGACATGGCAATGACACTGAAGGCTACCTTTCATACACGACATCAATTTGCCATTATTCTAAATCAGCCGACATGAAACATGTAGCAGAGCCTGCAGGGGAGACTGTATAATCACAACGATCACAGAACGCACTTACACAAATCTCTATAAGACTAAAAGAACAAACATGGTAGAAGGTTAGTTTAATCGTATAGTAGGGTCATCACGAGGGCCCACAACATAATTAAAGACAGTACACACCCCCAACACATTGTGTTCACACCGCTCCACTCAGGAAGATGCTACAGGAGCGTAAAGTCATGCACCACAAGACTGACGAAAAGTTTTTTTCCCTCAGGCAAACAGACTCTTGAACAATACTAAAAGCTCAAGTTAATCTGACCCCATATTCATATCCAACTCTTACTGTATGTCATTTAGCACTGTGCACTTTATCGAATGATTCTTATACAGTGGTACCTCAGAACTCGAATTAAATCCATTCAGAAATCCTAAAAAGTTCTGATCGAATTTTCCCCATAAGAAATGATGGAAAACCAATTAATTGGTTCCCGGCCCAAAAAATTACATCTAAATATGTTTTTTTTTTTTAGCATTTAAACACAAAATGAACCGGATAAAACAGGAAGAGCATATACTGTACTAAACACATCTAAGCACATTTATCAAAACAGTAATTTGTAAAGTAAGAAAATAAATGTATCCAAACAATGTGTAAACTTAAAAAAAACAATGTATCCTGCCCTGATCGTCCACTGTTTCCGTGTGCCACACCCCCTCGTTAACCCCGTGTTGAATCCCCGTGTGATCAGCTGTTTCTGGTTGTTGTCATTAGCCCTTTGTATTTCGTCCGTGTTTCAGTTTGTTTCCCCTGTCCGGTCATCGTATTGTCCATCTGCGTTTTGCCTGCCTTACTTGTAATTAAACCCCGTATTCCCCGATACCCTGATGTCTGCGTCTTTTTCTCTGTTCCGTCCCTGCTGGGCACAACAATATTATTATAATTAAATGTATTAATTGTTTATTATTAATATTAAAAGAATTCATAAGAAATCTTTATTTTTAAATGTATTTTATTATATAATAATAATCACTGTTACTGTCTATCATTGTCTAAATGTATTTTTACTGTCTAAATATATGGATTCAGCTAGTGTAAACATGCATGATGCTATCACAGCGAATGCGAGGCTGAGACTGAAGCGTTACCCTATGTTTCCTCTGAGAGACATGCCGCGTGACTTATTTCCCCGCGTGTACAAGTTATCTTAGGTCGGCGTTCACGGTTTGACTTCTGAGATTCAGATTGAGTTCTAGGTCATTTTTTTTTTCGAACTCGTTGGTTCGACTTTTAAGAAATTGGAGTTCTAATGAGTTTGAGAACTGAGGTACCACTGTATTTTTATAATTTTTAAAAATGTATTCAATTTTATATATTTATTTTCGAAGGGTGAGCAAGCAAAGTAAGAATTTCATTACATGGTTCTAACGTGTACATGTTTTTACTGTGTATATGACAATAAACTTCTTGACTTCACTAGTTTAGCTAGCTTAGGGTGACCAGATTCTCCACGTCATGGTGGACACTTTGAGCTGCTTCAGGTCTTACAAACTACTTTAAAACTGAAAGGCTTTTCTTGTGCTTTGGTTTGTTTCCTTGATTGAAAGACTCATCCAGATGTTTCATATTAACAAAAGTGACACATGCATGATTACCGGAGTCTGACCAATCAGCACATAGCAAGAACTCAGTGCTTAAGTGAAATCCAGGTTCTTTTAATTGAAATGGTAGTTTATAGATCCCTAAGCTAGCTGTCCCATTGTCATTAAGTCTGTATGGTGGGACACACCATTCTTTACTAGGCTATGAATGATTAAAGAGCAGTAGATGTTCTGACACCTGTCAAACACCGGCCAGTAAAACCAGCAGCAGTGCTCATGCCTGTAAAACACTGGCCAGTAAAACCAGCAGCAGTGCTAATACCTGTTAAACACTGGCCAGTAAAACCAGCAGAAGTGCTAGTTACAGTCAAACACCAGCCAGTTAAACCAGCAGCAGAGCTCACACCAGTATGAAGCCGGCATATGGACTGATAATGCAAAGCAGCAGGATGTGTCATGGTCACACATGAGCTACACCCCGTTAGCTCCCCGTTAGCTCCTCATTACACTTAATAAATACCATATTTAAGCGAGTTAATCCACTTTGCTTCACAGCCAAACGTGTGACATTGCAGTTAAAACAACAAAACCTGAATCTCATTCTCCTCTTTCCTTCTATCTCCAATAAATTCTTGGGCAAAAATAAAAAAGCTTCTCCATTTTTCATGCAGAAATACCAGAGCTGCTTTGGTTGTGAAGTTGGTTGTGAGATCGGCTTTCTTTGCGTTTTTTTACGTACAGTTTCTCACCAACAGCTGCGGGCAGATAAGACCCTGAAACTGTCTGAAACACCCCTCATCCTGCAGCTTGGCCATAAAATCACAGCTGAGTTGTCAGAACAGGTTTAGGATCAACGGTGACTGACATGAGCGGAACAATAGAAGAACAAAGGCAAGGCTTTACGACACACCAACAGACCTGTCTGCTAATGGAGAGCTCGGCTGCTCAAATTTACTGAACACATGAACCATCACTGAACCAGAATGAAAAATTATCACTACTGGCCAGTTTGCCTCTGCTTAGTACATCTATCTATCCATCCATCTTCCATAGCGACTTATCGAGGACAATGTCACCGTGATCCAAGAGCTGATCCCTAAGCACAGGGCGCAAGGCAGGACCCACCCTGGGCCGGATGCCAGTCCATTGCAGGGTACATACACTGTGGGCAATATACAGATGTGACTGCATGTTTTGGGACTGCATAAATATGGGAGGACATGCATTTTTCAATTAAAAAAAACTTGTATTTTTGAGCAGTAATGGGATTATGTAACTGGGAGCATGTAAATGTCTGATACATGACATACTGATGATAGGTAATAAAATCTCTCATCACAGACCATGCAAAAATACTTTAGATCAGGGTTCCCCAATTCCAGTCCTGGAGGGCCAGTCTGTGACAAAGCTTGCAGACTTACCTGCTCAAACACATCTACTAAACCTGGTTGGTGAGCTGAATAAGGTGTGTCTGAGCAGGGAAATCTGCAAACTGTGTTAAACTGTGGCCCCCCAGCCAATATACTTGTCTTAGGGAACAAGACACCTATATTGAGGCAGCATAGTGACTTAGTGCATAGCCCTGCAGCCAGAGACCCTAGGGGGGTGGGTTTGAATCTCGATGCTGGTTCTTTGTTTATGATGGCTGTATGTCACTAGTGTGAGTGTCCTGTAACGGACTGGTGCCCAATCCAGAATGCTTCCTGGATGGGCTTTGCGCACACCATGTCCCTTTATTGATCATGTCACTATGGAGGATGGGTATACTGTATATAAATGCGCACCAGCCACATAATCATGATAATTGCATATTTTGTTAAAAATATCTTTGCCCCATCAATAATTATATCTTTGCCCCACTATAACAGACATTTTTTGAAATATTGATTTACTAAAAGTATACAAATGGATAAAAATATGGCCAACTATTATTAATATACACTGCTCAAAAATAATTTTAATCAGAAAATAGCATCAATTAAACTTCTGGGATATTGATCAGGTCAGTTAAGTAGCAGAGGAGGCTGTTAATCAGTTTCAGCTGCTTTGGTGTTAATGAAATGAACAACAGGTGCACTAGAGGGGCAACAATGAGACGACCCCCAAAACAGGAATGGTTTAACAGGTGGAGGCCACTGACATTTTTCCCTCCTCCACTTTTCTGACTGTTTTTTCACTAGTTTTGCATTTGATAGTCTCAAAAGCATGGAGATTCAAGGACACAGGCAGTTACTCTAGGAGAGCTGGTCAGGGCTGCAGAAGATCCTTAAACCATCAGCAGGACTGGTATCTGCTCCTTTGTGCAAGGAGGAACGGGATGAGCACTGCCAGAGCCCTACAAAATGACCTCCAGTGAGACACTAGTGTGAATGTCTCTTATCAAACAATCAGAAACAGACTCCATGAGGGTGGCCTGAGGGCCCGACATCCTCTAGTCGGCCTTGTGCTCACTGCCTGGCATCGTGGAGCTCGATTGGCATTTGCCATTCAAAACCAGAATTGGCAGGTCTGCCACTGGCGCCCTGTGCTTTTCATAGATGAGAGCAGGTTCACCCTGAGCAGACATGAAAGGGTCTGAAGAAGCCATGGAGAACATAATACTGCCTGTAACGTTGTTCAGCATGACCGGTTTGGTGGTGGGTCAGTAATGGTCTGCGGAGGCATATCCATAGAGAGACGCACAGACCTCTACAGGCTAGACAACGGCACCTTGACTGCCATTGGGTATTGGGATGAAATCCTTGGACCCACTGTCAGACCCTACGCTGATGCAGTGGATCCTGGGTTCCTCCTGGTGCTCGGCCTCTTGTGGCAAGAATATGCAGGCAGTTCCTGGAGGATGAAGGAATTGATACCATTGACTGGCCCCCACTCTTGCCTGGCCTAAATCCAATAGAACACCTCTGAGACTTATGTTTCAGTCCATCCAACACCACCAGGTTGCACCTCAGACTGTCCAGGAGCTCAATGATTACCTGGTCCAGATTTGGGAGGAGATCCCCCAGGACACCATCCGTCATCTCATTAGGAGGATGCCCTGACAAGGTGGGGGCCGTACAAATGACTGAGTATGATTTTGAGTTGCTGCAATGAAATTTTGGCAAAATGAACTAGCCTTACGCATAATTTTTTCACTTTGATTTTTGGGGTGTCTTTGAATTCAGCCCTCTGTAGGTTGTTAATTTTAATTTCCATCAAACGACTGGCATCCTTTCGTTCTTAACACATTTCCTAGTGTCCATATCAGTATAGATTACCAGCATGATTTTTTTTCCCCATTGAGACCTGATGTGTTTTCAAAGTGTTCCTTTAATTTTTTTGAGCAGTGTAT